AACAAAAAATGCTTTTATGGGTATGTTTGTAGCAAAAGGAAGAACAAAGAAACAGTGGGGTCACTCAGAGGAGAAGATGGTGAAATGCAAACAGGGGACACAGAAAGGGCTGAACTCCTCAATGCCTTCTTTGCCTCAGTCTTCTCCGATAAAGAAAACAATGCCCGACCTGAAGAATTTGGAGCAAATGATTCAGCAGAGGAAACACAGCCCAGAATAACTAAGGAGATAGTACAAGAATACTTGGCTAGTTTAGATGTATTCAAGTCTCCAGGGCCAGATGAACTGCATCCAAGAGTATTAAAAGAACTGGCAGATGTGATCTCAGAACCACTGGCAGTCATCTTTCAGAATTCCTGGAGAACAGGCAAAGTCCCGGCAGACTGGAGGAGGGCAAATGTTGTCCCTATTTTCAAAAAGGGGGAAAGAGAGGGCCCAAATAATTACCGCCCAGTCAGTCTGACACCAATACCAGGGAAGATTCTGGAGCAGATCATTAAGCAAACAGTCTGTGAGCACCTAGAAAGGAATGCTGTGATCACCAATAGTCAGCATGGATTTCTGAAAAATAAGTCATGTCAGACTAACCTGATCTCATTTTTTGACAGAATTACAAGCCTGGTAGATGAAGGGAACACAGTGGATTAGCCTACCTTGATTTCAGCAAGGCATTTGACAAGGTGCCCCATGATATTCTTGTAAAGAAGCTGGTAAAATGTGGTCTTGACTATGCTACCACTCAGTGGATTTGTAACTGGCTGACTGACCGAACCCAAAGGGTGCTCATCAATGGTTCCTCTTCATCCTGGAGAAGAGTGACTAGTGGGGTGCCACAGGGTTCTGTCTTGGGCCCGGTCTTATTCAACATCTTTATCAACGACTTGGATGATGGACTCAAGGACATCCTGATCAAATTTGCAGATGACACCAAACTGGGAGGGGTGGCTAACACCCCAGAGGACAGGATCACACTTCAAAATGACCGTGACAGATTAGAGAACTGGGACAAAACAAACAAGATGAATTTTAACAGGGAGAAATGTAAAGTATTGCACTTGGGCAAAAAAAATGAGAGGCACAAATACAAGATGGGTGACACCTGGCTTGAGAGCAGTACATGTGAAAAGCATCTAGGAGTCTTGGTTGACCACAAACTTGACATGAGCCAACAGTGTGACGCGGCAGCTAAAAAAGCCAATGCAATTCTGGGCTGCATCAATAGGAGTATAGCATCTAGATCAAGGGAAGTAATAGTGCCACTATATTCTGCTCTGGTCAGACCTCACCTGGAGTACTGTGTCCAGTTCTGGGCACCACAGTTCAAGAAGGACACTGACAAACTGGAACGTGTCCAGAGGAGGGCAACCAAAATGGTCAAAGGCCTGGAAACGATGCCTTATGAGGAACGGCTAAGGGAGCTGGGCATGTTTAGCCTGGAGAAGAGGAGGTTAAGGGGTGATATGATAGCCATGTTCAAATATATAAAAGGATGTCACATAGAGGAGGGAGAAAGGTTGTTTTCTGCTGCTCCAGAGAAGCGGACACGGAGCAATGGATCCAAACTACAAGAAAGAAGATTCCACCTAAACATTAGGAAGAACTTCCTGACAGTAAGAGCTGTTCGACAGTGGAATTTGCTGCCAAGGAGTGTGGTGGAGTCTCCTTCTTTGGAGGTCTTTAAGCAGAGGCTTGACAACCATATGTCAGGAGTGCTCTGATGGTGTTTCCTGCTTGGCAGGGGGTTGGACTCGATGGCCCTTGTGGTCTCTTCCAACTCTATGATTCTATGATTCTAGGAAGCAGGAGGCAGAGAAGCATAACATTTATGCCCAACTCAGGAATATCCCACCTGATGCTACAATACGCCTATTAACCTTGTATTTCATAAGCACATGGGAGAGAGAAATGCTACCATAAACTTGCATTGTATCAGTGTATAAGCTTGCAGAATTACTCTTAGCACATTTCCCATTGAATTCCCCCCCATCTTCTGCCATTGAAAAACCAAGACTGGTCTGGCAGCAAAACGAATGGAAAACAGCAAATCTGTGTCCATTAGGACCGTAGCACTCAGGTATGGCTAATGTAAATTCAAAAAATGCTAATAAAGTCAGAAATTTCCCAGTGGGGGAGTAATGGAATGCTTTTAAAAAAGGTACTTTCACTTAATGACTAAGGCTTTTTTTTTTTCATTCTTCTTTTTGCTAAGAGCAATTTGGCTTCTTCTATCAGGTACCAGGGAGCGGGGCGGAGGGGGGGAGGGGGGAGGGAAGCATTAAACAGTAGATTAAAATGTCTTTGCTGCTTCTCAGTAATGCAAGTCGATGCTGCGAGCTAAGACACATGAGAAGTGGCAATTTAGTTGGTGACCGTGTTTCATTTTCTGGGAAGGGCAGTCAGTCAGTGCCCTGCTCAGAAGGCAGCTCTTTAAACACAGAGGCATCGAAAGAAAGTAGCGGAGCCAGGTTGGTGTCGGTCACAGACTCTACAATCTGTTCCTTCCTTTCATTTGTGTCGCTAATTAAGACGCACTAGCGACAGAACACCGAGAGTGTACATAACCTGTTGAAATTCTGTCAGGATCCATCTCCGCTTTCTCGTGCAGTTATTTATTTTTTAAATTCTGCTCAACAAAACGTCTCAACTGAGAATGGAAGACATGTGCAGGAGGAGAACAGATACTTCAGATTAGAATCTCCTTCCCCCTCGATATTTCTCTTTGCTTGCCTTGGCCTTTACATTCCTGCTCATCCAAGACAGGCACGCTAAATAATAAACAGAGCGGAGGCGATATGCCAGGAATGTCTCCTGTGCGGGTCCCTTTCATTTCAATGGGGCTGGTGCCCCAGAGGATTTTGTTCGATAGTGCCAGGATGTAAATTCCACAATTTCCCCATTGCTGTGAGGACCAGAGCAGAAGCTGGAAACAGAACACCTAAACATAAATGTAAACCCAGCAGCACTGCTATTAAAGCAAGAGGAAAAAGGCATATTTTGCCAACAAATACCATTTTTATGAGGTACACTTTAAGGGAAACAGGCAAATAAGTGTATTTTTTTAAAAAAATAAAATAAAAAAGTGCTCTGTGTGTGTCCTGTTACAGTTCTTTAAATATTTCCCCTCCCCGTCTTTTCCTGGGTCTGCCTTGGCAGGTCTTAGTCTAGGCTACCCTCTTTGTCCTTAATTGGTCCTCCGTGCTATATAACGGTTCATTCTTGTATATAAACTGGATTGTATTACACCAATTGACACTGTGTGTGTGTGTGTGTGTAAACCCATTTTTATAAGGCTTATGAACATTTCAACATCTGGAGCCCATGGAACTGCTTATGGAAATCTCATAAGAATCGGAGAACGTTGCATTGGTGTTTCTTCAGGGGTATGATGGGTTTGTTCCCAAGCTTTGACTCTCTTGCCTTCCTATTTTAGATAACTTCATTGCCCGCTAGAAACTTGGGTGGGTGTTTGTGTGTGTAAGGAATCTGTTATAGGTTTGAGAAACTGAGGAGTCTAGTTTAGGAATTTCCACTAGACTCTATGACCTTTTCTCATGGGCCTCCATCCAAATATAAAGGACTTGAGCTAGGCATAACTTTTAGCCACTGTGTAGTCAGATTGATTTCGCTGGAACTTCTCGTGTGACTGAAGTTATGCACACACATAAATCTTTGCCTGGTTTATGGTGATAATATTGTGACCAATCCAAGACTACAAAATATCACATGGAATGCTGATGGTCTTATTGTGGATCTCATCCCAGTGCCAGCATTCACCCTAGAGGAACATGGGAACAATGATTCTCGTGAAACATATTGGCAGCGTTCAACATGGCACTTGATTCCATTTCTTCAACGTCTTCCTGTCTGTTAATTTTTGCATGATATCTGAGCTTCCACACAACATAAATGCCACTTCTGGGTAACTAAAGAAATATAGCACATGTTTAGCACCCATTTCTCTATTACTTGATTCCAGAGGGGGAAATCATTTGCAGTCCCCTTAACCTGGAAAATTGCAAAACTAAAGTGACAAAATGTGGGGCAGTAGACTGGCCTAAAGTTATTTTCTACTGTTTTCATGGGAGAATCATGGGAGAGCAAAAGCACACTTGTGTGGACAGAATGGAGGAGTACTGACATCAGTGCTTTTTTTCTTAAAAAAAATTATTTAGGGGTACTCTCATTTTGCCTCAAGAAAACCACCATTTTACAGTTCAAATCAGGGGAAATAGTAAATGGACAAAAATACAAAGATTCACAAAATGTTTAGGGATATGCGTCCTCCCAGAAAAAGCACTGAGTGACATTGCCCAATGATGTTTGTTGTTGTTGTGACATGCCAGTATATCAGCCAAAAAGTCACAGTTCCATAACCTAACAGATGATAGGTAAAGGGACCCATGACCGTTAGGTCCAGTCGCGGACGACTCTGGGGTTGTGGTGCTCATCTTGCTTTATTGGCAGAGGGAGCCGGTGTACAGCTTCTGGGTCATGTGGCCAGCATGACAAAGCCGCTTCTGGCGAACCAGAGCAGCGCACAGAAACGCCGTTTACCTTCCCGCCGGAGCGGTACCTATTTATCTACTTGCACTTTGACGTGCTTTTGAACTGCTAGGTTGGCAGGAGCAGGGACTGAGCAACGGGAGCTCAGCCCGTCACAGGGATTCAAACCACCAACCTTCTGATCGGCAAGCCTAGGCTCTGTGGTTTAACCCACAGCACCACCCGTGTCACAGATGATATTGCCATATAAAAAGAGCATTAGAAAACAAGGCAGAAGTGCTACCATGATAATCAGGACCACTAACAAAATATTCTCCACGTTTGAATGGACCCATTGTAAATGAACTCTGGATCATTTTCAGACAATGTGGCTTTGCTTACTGCCTGTGTCTACTAATTGCAGCTTTGAGGTTTCTGTGTCTATCTCTGGCTTTTTAAAGGTGATTTAAAAGTGCCATGTTGTCAGGGAGTGAAGGTTTGGACTAAAGGATATTTAATACCTGAGAGCTCAGTTGGTTGAGTGTGAGACTCTTAATCTCAGGGTCATGAATTTGAACCCATGTTGGGTAAAAAGATTCCTGGATTGCAGAGGGTGCAATAATAAGGGACCCCTGTGGTCCCTTCCAACGTCTATGATTTTACTATTTACTATTCTATGAAATGCAGGGAGAGAAAACAAGTGAGTAATTTTGACCACTGTAGATTCTGATATTTATTTATTTGAAACATTTCTATTCCATCTTTCTAAAAGTAAGAGGCTCGTGTCAGAATAAAATAAAATAAAGCCGTCATTACAATCAATGTACAACACTTTTAAAAAATCATGGCACTTACAATTAGCAGCATTTAAAATTATATACATAGTGCAAGAAACACAGTTTGACGCAAGTCACAGGCAAGCCTAAGCATAACATTTATTTATCACTGACACCAGTTGAAAGTTCCCTTGAACTGCAAATAGCAGCTTTAGAGAAGATATTTTTGTCAGAACTTGAGAGGGAACATTGACCTCTTCCTTGCTATCTTCCACAGTCCTGAAGCAGTTCAGGCTTCTTTTGTGGGTTTTATTTACACAACAAGAATGTGCTTGTTCACACAACTAAAGTCTAGGAGTCATCAACAATTGAAGGGAGGCAATGGACTACCAGTGCCTTCTTGGTGGTAGCACATCAGTGCTGAAAGCTCTTCCCAGATTGGTTCACCAGGTGCCTTCTTCTGATTATTTCAACAAAAGGCAAATATATTCCCTCCAGAGTTTTGCATACCATGATCTTCATGTCTTGAGTTAGGGATGGTTGAATCTGTCAAGTTCTGGTTTCTCTAAATTTCTCATTTTTCCAATGTTGTGTTTGGTTAGCTCCAATTTTCCATGTTTGGATTTTATTCACTTTTTAAAAAAAGAAATCAACATGAGAATTCATATCTATTTCTTGTTTATTTATCCTAATACTACATGCACATTTTTATAGCAATTTTGTTTAGTATATGCATTTATGCAGCCAGTTTTCCCCTCATAGAATTGCAAGTTGTTTTCCCTAATATACACAACTTTTTCTTTTACTTGTCATTAACACATGCATTTTTGTATGTATTTTTCAGTGGGAGAATTGCATTGTAAAATTCAGAGAAGCATTAATTTTGAAGGAGAACCGTGTTTCGGTTTTCATATTTCTTTGGGAACTGCAGATTTGGTAGCTTCATATTAAAATATGAACCAATCAAATTTATCCCCCATCCCTGGTTGTAATTTACTACTGTTACATTGTATATTTTTCGTCATGCTATGAAACTGGTTTTATTTATTTATTTGCTGGCAATGCTTATGCTGTAATTTTCATGTTTTAGGATACTGTATTTTAATATTTATTTTGTTGTTTTATGCTGGTTAGACATCTAGGGAATCATTCTGGGGAGCGTATATGAATGATGTAAGGAAACAAATATTTTTTTTAGTAGAAGCTGGCTGGACCCTGTGTCATCAAATTCACTTCCCCTCTTTACTGGAGTGGGTTGTTGTATTTTTCAAGCCTAACATACAAATGTTTAATCAAATATATTTGCAAGGTGCTTAAATTTTTAGTAAAAAGATGGCAAGCGTCGGGGAGAGATGATGAGGAAGAGAAATCAGCACTGGATTCAGAGTCAAGTATGTATGTCATTGGAAGAATGACAGCTGGTTGTGGGGGGCAGTTGGTTTCTTTCTGCACTAGAAGAAAATTCACACATACCTGTTGGGAAATATGACAGTATAACCCCCCAACACACACCACACACACTTAGTTCTGTCAGCTCTTTCTCCTGTAAGACGGCAATGAAAGTTAAACAATTGCAAGACTTGTTGGGAATGGCTGGGTGGCATGATTGTAGCTGGTTGCGTGTTTAGACCTTGTAACCTCCCCCTTAAATAAATTCAGACAAGACTCAAATTTTGGTTTGGTTTTTGGCAGAATTTAGGCCACAACTTTATTGATTACATCAAGTGACTGGTTGCATAGGCTCTGGTTCGACTAGCTCCCTGCACAGTGGCAGGTAGTGCTGACACAGGGCACCAGCATAGGTCAACCTAGGGTGAACACCTGGAACAGCGGAAAGCCGGGGTCAGGCTAGTCCACCACCCAGATTTCCCCCTGGACTCAGGCACAGGCACAACCCCCCTCAGCGTTGACCAAACCATTGAGTCCCTGGATTCCTTTAACGGAATACCCTTCTCATAGGGATGGCAAGAGCATTCCCCCATCCCTATCACCTGAACCAGAGCCTATCCGCAACGTTACAGATTGTGATGATTTGCTAAGTGGCAGGCGAAACCCAAATGGCAACAGCCAATCAGCCAAGTGGGGAGAATTCCTGCCGTGCCCCTGTCCCAATGACAGACGACACATGACGGCATAGCAAGGTCAAGCACAAGCCCTGAATATAGGGAAAGGTGGGCAGGTGTTCTGATGCACTGGCCCAAAGAGGAAGCTCAGGGTCACATGCATGGGCATATATAGGTCCCTTGATCCATTTGACTAGTGTCCCATTGGCCTGATTAAACCCAGCATCAAGGGACGTACCAATAGGGTGTTGTGGCTATCCAGTTGTACCCACCCACAACACATGGTTTGGTTGCCAGGTCACACCACAACATGTGCCCTCTTTGAGGGAGGACACAATTTATACCATAGAATGCCATTTGATCAGACTAAAAAATGTGCACAAATTTAAAAGAGGACAAACTAGGATGAGGAAATATTGTCAAATACAGTATACTATGGTGGTCTGACTTACAAATTCACAAAACAGGGGTTTGCAGTGCTAAAAAATGTTTCTGGGAAATTATTCACATGTACAGTGTGTGTGTGGGGGGGAATCTTTGAGGTTAATGTAAGGTTGGGTTGGAGCCAATCTAAACAAACAAACAAAAAGGGATCCACATTTAGATCATATTGTTGTTGGATAGAACAAAAACAACCCTGATGGAGATACCCTAGCATACGTCAAGTATTTGTAAGAAAAGAAACCCTGATCCCAAGCTATTATCTCCCCCTCCCTCTCAACTTTGAGACAATGCCATTTCCACTTCTCCCAGCAAATTAATTAAGGGAGGAGAAGGTGATCAGACAACTAAATATAAGCGGATAAACAGAGGTATCGGCTGTTGGTGTGTAATAATTTTTTTATGATATTATTAATAGTATTAATTTATGTAGCACTTTTCAGGGTACAGTCATTTTACAGTTCTAAATTCAACGTAGAATGTCAGATAATGTGATTGAAGTGCCTCCACTCAGCCACACAGATTAAAGTAAAATATTTAATGTCTTATGGAACTAGGTTTACGTTTCAAATCTTGTTTGTCGGCAGGGGAGATGGAATAAAAAGCTACATATGTGGGATTTTCTTCTCTGTATATGTATTTCTTCTCCTTTTTTCTAGCACACTTTTTTTTTCTTTGCTCAACCCTAAACATTGTGGGGATGTGTGGCATGACACATGGGTGCCAAGTGAAAAGCCTCTGGAGAGGGCACGATTTATTTATGTAAGACTTGGATGACATTTACTTTGAGTATAAACCATAGCTGCACCCACCCAATGCCATTTAAAAGGTAACAATTGCTCAGTTGTGAAAAAAAGTGTTTTTCCCTAATTCCCACTTGCAAGGGTTTTAACTAAGCAAAACCAATTCTTTATATAGCGTCTTCAGTGAGTCACCAGCAGCTCCTTAAAATATTTTCAAGTTTGTCCTAAAAATGTAGTTAATATTGCTCTGATCTCACTGAACTACAGACGGGAAGCTTTTCATACATTAATTTCAGTAACTTTTTGACCTTTTGGCAAACTTTGATTGCAGTCTCTTCTCCCTACACAGCACCCCCTTGTTGGCATTTGCTTTGTATATAGTTTATGGTTTCTATGCAAGGAGTTTTGCTTGTGTAGGTCCCCAGGTCACCCCTCAAATAACTTCACACATAACACGTAATTTTAGTTTTGGTTTTTGGGCACTATTTTGGCCACAACTTTATTAAAATACAAAATCAGTGAGTGGTTGTTTAGACATTGGTTATGACTATCTGTCCCCCCGCCTGGGACAGAACTGACATCCCGAGGTCCGATCGGTAGCCAGTAGAAGGGAAAGTCAAACGTGGGGGTCATTTGAGCTAAGCGTCAGACCCACGCCGCTCACCCCAGCAGCTCCCCGAAGGCTTGCCGGCCCTGGTCCCATGATAGGGATTGGACGGCCCTGATCCCATGACAGGGATAGGACAAAATTGTGGCAAGCCCCAGGATTCCTTTAACGGAATTCCCTTCAGGGCAATAGGAGGGGCAGGCACAGCCTATCCTGACCCCTCCACCACCAGCATATTATAACCAATGCCTAACTGCAACTTTACAAGTTGTGACGAATTGCTGAGTAGTAGGCAAAAACCAAATGGCCCAGCCAATCACCAAATGGCAAAATTCCTACTAGGCCCCTGTTCCAAAGCAGACGACCCCATGACAGGCAAAGCAAGGTCAACCGGAAAAGAGGTTGGGCGGGTGATCCGATGCACTCTGCAAAGAGAAAGAGAAACCAGAATACACCAATATTTAAAGACTATGGTCCCACCCACCCAATTTGCAACATACAATTTGCCCCAGCAACCCGGTTATCCAATCACAATGCCAGGCAACAACTATTAACCTGCCTGGCAACAAGAGGGCTGGCCCGGCGGCCCACACCGCAACACGTGCTCTCATTTATTGGAGAACACGCTTTACAATGAAACAAAGAAAGTGAAGACACTTGTGTCTTAATGGAATGCTTTCCCCCCTAGGTTTCTTGACTTGGCAATAATAATAATAATAATAATAAATTTTATTTATATCCCGCCCTCCCCAGCCAAAGCCAGGCTCAGGGCGGCTAACAACAAACAAATAATCAAACAATCAAATAATCAACATTCTAAAACATTTCATTATAAAATTAATTAAAATCAAATTAATGGCAACCGTTAAGCAAAGTTCTGTGCAGGTTGCCGGAGGTTGGAGTCAGGCTGGGCCCTGACCAAAGGCCTGGTGGAACAACTCTGTCTTGCAGGCCCTGCGGA